GTTTATTGGTCCAGTGGTGAGGATTTTTGTTTTCTTAACATTGAGATGTAATCCATATCGAAGGCTGTGCTCTGTGATCTTCATAAGTATATGTTTCAAGTCCTCTTCACTTTCAGCAAGCAAGGTTGTATCATCAGCATATCGCAGGTTGCTATAATAGAGCCTCATATTAAGTATAATGGACATCAACTATATATTTTTTTCCTATATGGCTCAGATATTTTTCTCTGTCTTTTCAATTTGTATGAAGGATCAGGCTTCCTTTGGTGCATTGGGTATTACCAGTGAAGCTTCCATAAGAATAGCAATGAATGTTTACACATGACTTTTCTGATACTTTTCTAAGCTCATCCCCAAATCTAAGGAATAGTGTTAGCCTAGGTCTCTGGCTGGAAGACACAAAGGGGTTCTCTTAGCCCATACATAGCCTAGCTCAGGTCATAAATTTAGGAGACTATAAAGAGCAGAAGGAGCCCTGGTAGAGCAGTGGGTTATGTGTTGGGCTGCTAACTCCACTGTCAGCAATTCAAATCTACCAGATGCTCTGCAAGAGAAAGATGAGGCTTCCTGCTTCCGAGATTTTAGCCTCGAAAACACTACAAAGGGTCACTAGGAGTCGGAAGTGACTCAAAAGCACATAAATACCACCACTATAGAGGGCAGAACTTCTTATTGCACTGAAAAACCCATTAAGGTTGAGTCAACTCCAATGCGTACTATAAGACAAAGCAGAACTGGGTCTCCAAGGCTGTAAATCTTTACAGAAGCAGACTGCCTCATCTTTCTCCAAGAAATGATGAGCAGCTGATGGGTTCCAACTACCAACTTTTCAGTTAGCAGCCCAATGTTTAACTCACTGTACCACCAGGGTGCTTTCTTTTCCAGCAGTTTCTTGAAAACAGGAGGGTGGCCATAGGTCTCTTGGTGTCTTGGAATATCATCTGCAGTCTCTGGAATATAGAAAAATAATATTTCACATTTCTCCAATAGATTCTGAGGTGCTGGATATTTGTTCCATTCATATTCAGATATCTCAGCCTCCTAGCTCTTTGCTTACTTCCAGTTAGATCTCTTGAACAATATACATTATCTACCACATGTTCTGAACTCTCACAGTGACACTCTTACAATTTCACCAGGTACATTCCTCATTAAGCAAAGGTGGTGGCATCAAAGTTACAAGATAGCTAGAGCAGGCATAGTTTCCTACATACTTAATACCTAGTTTCAGTTTTTGATGGGGGTTATATTTAGAGAAAAAGAAGTAAAAAATAATAAATGCAGCAATGAAGCAGGTTGTTAATGAGTCTTCCTCCAATCCTGATGCCATGTTCTTCATATAATCCAGTTTCTCAGATTATTTGCTCAGTGTACAGTTTGAATAAGCATGGAAAAAGAATACAAGCCTGATGCAACCTTTCCTAATTTTAAACCATTCAATATTCCTTGCTCTGTTAGAATGACTGCCACTTGGTCTATGTACAATTTCCTCATGAGTACAATTAAGTGTTCCAGAACACTCATTCTGTGCCATGTTGTGCATAGTTTGTTATGATCCACAAAGTTGAAAACAGTTGCATAGTCAATAGAATAAGCACTCAGCCTCAAGGTCATTCTGAACCACAAGGTTGGTGATTCAAACTCACCAGCCACTCCTCGGAACCTCTATAAGAATTGCTATGAATCAGAATGGACTCAATGACACTTAACAACAATAACAACAACAAAACATCTTTCTGGTATTCTTTGCTTTCGGCCAAGATTCATTCAGGGTAAGAGCCATCAAACCAGTTCACTTTTTCTCTGCTTTTTGGTTCATGAGCTCCATACTAAGAATCTTGTGTTTTTCTAAGTTGGCCTTGGATATTTTTGTAATTTTGTTCTCAACAAGGTATCTATCTGCTTTATATGTTTCCTGTAAAACCCAAAACTTTCAATTACTCAGAAACCTCCAGGATGAGAAAATTGACAGCTCACACGTTTTAGAAAAGATTACATAACTTCCAGGACAATTTGTGCTTATCTCAAAATATTCCTACATTACATATGGCTAGGGAAAATACACAAGCATGTTTTCACTCAAAATAATTTAGAGATTTCAAACGAAATACTTACCAAAGATGGACCAAAAAAACTATAGCAAAGTTTTTGTCACCAGGTATTCTCTCTAGGAATTTCCTTAACTTCATAACAGCTTTTCTGTAGAGCTCCAAATACAGTACCCTGGATGAAGAGCACCCAATTAGCCTCAGTACTGGATTCATTCATTCAACAAATATTTACTATGTTGTTGTTAGGTGTCACTGAGTTGGTACCAACTCATAGCAACCTATGCACAGCAGAACAAATCACTGCCCAATCCTGGGTCAACCTCACTATCGTTGCCTCGCTTGAGCCCATTGATGCTGCCACTTTGCCAATCCATCTCGCTGGGGTTCTTCCTCTTTTTCTCTGACCCTCCACCCTACCAAACATGATATCCTTCTCCAGCAACTGGTCCCTCCTGACAATATGTCCGAAGTATGAGAGATGAAGTTTGACCATCCTGGCCTCCAAGGGGCACTCTGATTGCATTTCTTCCAACACAGATCTGTTGGTTCTTTTGGTAGCCCATGGCACTTTCAATATTCTCCTCCAACACCATAACTCAAAAGCATCAATTCTTCTGCGGTCTTCCTTATTCACTGTCCAGCTTTTGCATGCATATGAGGTTATTGAAGATTCCATGGCTTGGGTCAGGTGCACCTTAGTCTTCAAGCTGGTATCTTTGCTCTTCAACACTTTAAAAAGGTCTTGTGCAGCAGATTTGCCTAATGCAATATGTCATTTGATTTCTTGACTGCTGCTTCCATGAGTGTTGATAGTTGATTCAAGAAGAATGAAGTACTGTACCACCTGCTTTATACAAAGAACTCAATAAATCAACTGGTATTCAGAATATAACAAAATGGATGTTACTGGGAGCTCAAGAAAGCTGGATCCAGCTACAGAAAGAATCAGGCTCTGCCTACTCTTTATATGTTGTGTAGAGAGGGTCCGATAATGTGAAAAAAATAAGAGTCAACTTTCACTGATGGTTTACTAGGTTTTGTGGCCAGACCTTGATATATAGGATATAATTAAATTCTCCAAATCCTGTTGTACGGAAGCATTGTTGTTTTTAAGTGCCTTCAAGTCAGTTCTGACTCATAGTGAGGGTTTCCAAGGAGTGGCTGGTAAGCTTGAACTGCCGACCTTGTGATTCAGACCAACCTTGTAATCTAGTTCGTTAACCCACAGTGCCACACCAAGACTCCATAGAGAAGTACAGAAGCACAGATTTTTATAACCACTTGACCCAAGTCACACACAGCTAAGTCTGGATTTGAAACTAAAAATTTGAACACAGTTCAGGCTTTCAGTATGCATGCTTCCAGTTAGTATAAGGAATCCTGGTGTGGCAATGTGGGCTAATGCACTGGACTGCAAAGTCTGTTTGAACCCCAAGGTCGGTGGTTCAAGCTCACCAGTCTCTCCTTGGAAACCCTACACAGGGACACTATGGGTCAGAACTGACGAAACAGCACTCAACAACAACAAAAGCAAGTTAGAGCTAAAACTTGAGGAGTAAGCATCTTTTTCTTCTAACCTGTTCTGCATCATGGCTGCATATAACACTTGTGGAGCAATATAGTTAAGTGCTCATCTGTTAACCAAAATGTCAGCACTTTAAATCCACCAGCTGTTTGGCATTCTGCTGGAGAACAGGTCTGGCAATTTGCTCCCCTAAAGATTGCATCCTATGGGACAGTTCTACACTGTCACATTGTAATCTCAATGGCACACAACAGTTCCTTTATCACAACAGCTACTAAGTAATTTTTAAAATAACCATGTCACTTTCATAAAGACATCTCTGCTTTCTAAACTTTTTATTTATTATTTTTATTTTGAGAGGAGGAATGATTTTAAGTCAGAAAAAAGAACATTTACACTAAAGATGAGTTTCTGTTTCAGGTTTAGTTGTTTCACACATACCCTGCTTATTTCTAATATGTATTTTTTGAAACATTCAACCAAAAAAAGCAGATGGCTTTGGGACTAGCTTCTGCATATAATGAACTTCATTTCTGATGTCACTATAAGGAGATATTTGTAGGGGTGGTTTGGAAGGTTTGGACAAAAAGTAAAAGGATGAAAAGGACCTTCTTCCTCAGACCACTGTGGTATCAAAACATCACATAAATTTACATAAAACAGCTACCATTTGACAACTGGACTTCTCATGAAAATTTACTTCACAGTTCGCAGATCATTTTGAAAATATCAACTGTTTTCAGAAAGATTTCCCCATGTCCTAATTTTTTTAAAAACAAATTTTTGAAACATACAACGGGAGCACAGTTGCTCCAAACAATAAGTATTGGACTTCAAATCACAAGGTCTACAGTCGAGCCTGCCTCGGAAACTATATACCGAGTCGCTATGAGTCGGAACCGACTGACAGCACTTAACAACAGTACATTTCAAAATGTGATTAATATGGGGAGCTCAGAGAAAATATTTTCTTGTTGGTACAGATGAACATAAACAATGAGGTTTGTTACTTTCTCAGATTGAAGTATTTAGTTTAAGAAACGAAAATTTTCTAATTTTTTGAGTCACGTTGATTTAAAAGAGAAATTATTAGGAAGGGTATATACAGCTCACCCAATCTCCCTGCCTCTCTGATAAATTCCCTTTGTCCTCCTCATTCATTCCTGTTTTCATCCTAACTTTCCTAAATTTTGACTGTAGGGACCTGGTGGGCATTTGTGGCTGTGTGTGTGCATTGTGTGTCCTGTGTGGGAGGAACACATGCCTAGAGAGAAGAGGAGAGAAAGCAGAAATGCCCAAGGCCTGCGGAAGAGACAGGACACAGACACTCCCCAGTAACCCAGTAAAGCACAAACTCCATCAGCAGGGTGGCGATGCCACTTGTGGCACCAGTAATTGGAGAGGAACGGAGATGAGTACGCTCAGGGGCACCGTGCGCCCGGAGTGGCTGTGTACTGGTGTAGGTGGTGGAGTGAGGATTTGGAGGGGTCTCGCAGCACTGCCCGCCCCTGGGGGAGGGGGAGGGCGAGCTTGGAGATGACGTGGGGTCCTCACGTGACCAGGAGCTGCAGAACGATGCTGCCTTCGGTGCAGTCGTCACTCGAGTCTGGGTACCGGCTCCCCACTGCCTGGCGCCCGGCGGGCTGGCATCGGGCCCGGGCCAAGTGCAGCAGGTAAGGCCCGGGGCCTGCGCGCCTCGCCTAACCCCAGTCACCCGCCTGGAGGCAGGCGCTGGGGCACAGCTCGGAGGGTCCCAGACTCTGTATTCGTGGGAACAGAAATGGTGCTCCCCACGGGAGGGGGTACTCAGGGGCGGCTGGGCTTCCAGGGAAAGCAGCAGAACAACCAAGAGAGCGCTGGGAAATCACCTTCGAGTCCCCGCAGGAAAATGGCGAGCACCGCAGGAGGTGGGAGGCAGTGGGCTGGGAAGACCAAGAGCCTGGTCAGATGGGGCCCAAGCACTCGACCGCAGCAGCCCCCGCCCCCCTCCCGGCCATCTGCAGGTCTGCGGGTCTCAGGGTTGAAGCAGCACAACTGGTGGCAAGGATCAGGAGAAAGAGGTGACTGGATAGGCCCAGGTAGGTGCAAGGGACTTGGGTCGTGGGAGGGGGGCAGAGCCCAGTCTGAGACCCCTGTCACTCCCCCCTCCCCACCCTGCCCTCCATTTTGGTGCCAGCAGAGGTCTGGCAATGGAGCAGCAGGAAAAATGGTGGGCTTGTGGGAGGAGGGGAGAGGACTGGGAGCCCCCTAGAGGGCGCTGGAGTACTTTCAGGTAGGAAAAATGAAATTGAAAAATCAACCTGTGAATTCCAGAGCTCTGAATTTCATTCACTCTTCTTGCTTTTGTCTTTTAGGCATACTTGTGTTCAAAGGGAAAAAAAGTCAGTAAAAGAAAACTTCATCATGGCAAATATCCCCCAAGAAAATGAAGAAATGGAGCAGCCCCCTGTGCAGAATGGGGAGGATGCCCGCCCTTTGAGAAGGGGCGAAGCCCAGCAACCTGTAGGGAATAACCGGCGAGGACAGGCTCACCGACTTGCCCCTAATTTTCGATGGGCCATACCCAATAGGCAGGTCAACGATGGGATGGGTAGAGATGGAGATGATATGGAAATGTTCATGGAGGAGATGCGAGAAATCAGGAGAAAACTTAGGGAGCTGCAGTTGAGAAATTGTCTGCGTATTCTAATGGGGGAGCTCTCTAATCACCATGACCATCATGATGAATTTTGCCTTATGCCTTGATTCCTTTCATTTTCCATGAGATGAATACTGTGATTCCTGCTGGGGTTTGTGTGTGTGTGTGTGTTTGTTTGTTTGTTTGTTTTCCCCTTCTTTCTTTCTCCTTGCATTTTCCTGATAATACCTGTGCTGATCCATTTGCTATGAACCTTATATTATTTCTATGTGTTAGATCAAAAAAAGAACCTATTGCTGTACAATTGATTCCCACTCATAGAGACCCTGTGGGACAAAGTAGAATTGCCTCATATGGTTACCAAGGCCAGAGACCTTTATAGATGCTGACTGCCACATCTTTCTCCCTCAGACCAGCTGGTAGATGGATACCATTGACCTTTCAGGTTAGCAGCCGAGTGCTTTGACCACTGCACCTCCAGGGCTACTCTATGTGTTAGGTAGGTCTTAAGTTGGTTCAAGCTTCTAAATGAAGATTGCTTTTGCACCCAGCATATGTTTCTGTTAGCAGTCAAGTTTCACCCATTTGCATGGAAAGATGTAAAGTTAATAAAGCAATTAAAAAGCAATCTGTATATACAAAATTGTCTCATTAAAAAAACATTTTTTAAAACATAAATAATGCCAAGCCTTACCAATCTGAAAGTAAATACACCAGAGTGTTAATTGGTCACCATTTCTGTGCGGTGACTTTTTCTTGTATTGTCTGGAACTTGAAAAAGAATGAAAAAAGATGCTTCAGTGAGTCTATGTATGCTATATAGACACATAATAAATACTGTTTCAACAATCTTGAAGAAGGGTAAACCTTAAATATCTTCCAGTTGTCTTAACTGAAAGATTAAACATTTCCTTTATTATAGATACATTTCTTAAGGGGCCAGATTTCTCTTCTTTGAAGTGGAGCAGTGTTTGCCTAGCAGGGTTGCTGAGTTAAATGGACAAAGTGTGGAACTGTATTAGACTGATTCCTGTTCAACTCCCCAGTCCCCAGCGTTTGACTGGCCCCTGGCCCCCATCAGGTACTTGGGGAGGGTGAAAGGGAGTTTGCATTCATGCTCATGAGTCTAAACACAAATCCTATGAGTTCCACCATGCCATTCCATGATCATTTGAAACCTTCCCACTCTGATGATTGTCACTTTAGTTGGGCATCCTTGCCCTTCTGTGGATTATAGTTGTTGATATGCTGAATAGCTCAGTATAATTAACCCACTGATATCTTTGGAGTCCCTGGTGAGCCAAATCCCTCTTTGATCTCAATAGACATGTAAAGAATGCCCCTCTAATCTTAATTAAGTGCCAATCCAGTGGTTCTTGGGCTTACATTGGTTCTTAGCAAAATAGCCCTTCCTGTTTTTATTTTCATGCCCCTCTTCAAAGAACTCAGAGATGAATGCATGGGGGCCTTGGTCAAGAGACCCATTTCTAGGTGCCAAAAACTATGATATGCTCAGAATTACACTAATGCTGACCTCCAAAGTGCAAAGAGTCCAAAGACTTTGTTTTTGCCAATATTTCTATCATTGAAATGAAATGTCTCAAAGGAGATTCTTGGCAGGCTGCCCAACCAATTTGATAGAGTTACTCAGACAGTGCCATTTTAGCTAAAACTAAACACACGTGTTCCCATCTCCAACCAAGTCTCTCACCTGAAATATAACTTGCTTTGTAATCTTAACTATACTCAATATTATTGTTAGGTGCCTTTGAGTCTGTTCCAACTCATAGCCACTGTGTACAAAAGGAGACACTTCCCAATCCTGAACCATCCTCACAATCATTGCTGTTTGAGCCCATTACTGCAGCCACTATCAACCCATCTTGTTGAGGATTTTCCTCTTTTTTTGCTGACCATCTATCAAACATGATATTCTCTAGGGACTCATCCTTCCTGATGACATGCCCAAAGTATGTGAAACAAAGTTTTCTAATTCTTGCTTCAAAAAAACATCCTAGTTGTACTTCTAAGACATTTGTTTATTCTGGCAGTCCATGGTATAGTTATATTCTTTAGCAACACCATAATTTAAATACATCAATTCTTCAGCTCCCTTATTCATTCTCTAGCTTTCTCATGCCTATGAGGCAATTGAAAGTAACATCTTTGCTCTTTAACACTTCTAAGCGTTCTTTTTGCAGCGAGTTTACCCACTGCACATTACATAGCTGATTTCTTGACTGTTGCTTCCTTGTGCATTGATTGTGGATCCAAGTACAATTAAATCCTTGACAATTTCAGTTTTTTCTCTGTTTATCATAATGGTACATATTGGTCCATTTGTGAGATTGTTTCTTTTCTTTATATTGAGGTGTAATCCACACTGAAGGCTATATTGTCTTTGATAGTCACCAGTAAGTCCTTCAAATCTTTGCTGTCAGCAAGCAAGATTGTGCCATCTGCATATGTTGTTGTTCAGTGCTATTGAGTCAGTAGTGACTCAGTGATTTCCAAGGAGCAGCTCATGAATTTGAATTTGAACCATCAACCTTGGAGTCAGCAGTAGAGTACATACCCTACAGTGCCACACCTGAACTCCAGGTTGTTAATGAGCCTTCTTAAAATCCTGATGCCAGGTTCTTCATATAATGCAATTTCTAGGATCCTTTGCACTGCATACAGATTGAAAGGAGGCCTGATGGCACAGTGGGTTAAGCACCAGTCTTCAGCTGAAAGTTTGGTGGTTCATAACCATTGATCACTGACTGAGAAAGATAAGACACTCTCTTTTCCTAAATATTTACAGCCTTGGGAAATCTATGGAACAGTTCTACTCTGTCCTATATGGTCACTGTGTCTGAAGCGAATCGGTGGTAGTGGGTATATTCATTAAATAAGTATAGTAAAAGGATACAACCCTGGCATATAGTTTTTTTGATGTTAACCATGCAACATCCCTTTATTTTGTTTGAAGTATTGCATCTTGTTCTATGTACAGATTCAACATGGGCACAATTAAGTGCTCTGGAATTCTCATTTTTTGCAATTGTATCCATAATTTCTTAGGATCCACACAGACCATGCCTTTGAATAATCAATAAAACTCAGGTTAATAACTTTATGGCATTCTCTGCTTTTAGACAACAGCAATGACATCGCTTATTTCAAATCCTTTTCTGAATCCAGTTTGAATTTCTGGCAGTCCCCCTTTATGTACTGCTGTCATTGTTTTTGACTTATCTTCAGAACTTTACTGGTGTGTGTTAGTAATGATATTGTTAGATGATTTCTGCATTCTGTTGACTCACCTTTCTTCAGAATGGACACAAATATGGATCTCTTCCAGCTGGTAGGCTAGGTCTTTTTAATTTCTTGGTATAAATGAGCAAATGCTTCCAGCATGCATTGAGTTGTTGAAACATCTCAACTGATATTCTATCAATTCCTGTATCCTTGTTTATCAACAATGGCTTCAGTGCAGCATGGACTTCTTTCTTCAGTACCATCATTTCATGATCATACACTGTCTCCTGAAATGGTTGTACTTGACCCTTTTTTTTTTTTTTTTTGTACAGTAACTGTATATTCCTACCAGTATATTCCTACCACCTTCTTTTGATGATTACTGCTTCATTCTCTATTTTCCCTATTAAATCCTTCAATATTTCAACTTGAGGCTAGAATGCTTTCTACAGTCATTTCATTTCTTGAGGAATGCCAGACGTGGTCTTCCTTTTCATTTTCTGTTAAGTTTTTGCACATTTCTTTCTTTCTTTTTTTTAAGTTTTTATTGTGAGGTTCACATGGGAGAACATCAGTTCTACACTTATCCTATCATATTTCATTTCATTGCAATGATTACAGTCCCCTCCATGCATCATCAAACAACCAAAGGGTGCACAATACAGGCCCCCTGCTCCCAGCTGCCAGCACACAGCCCCTCTCCCTCCCTGAGTCCAGTGTCCCCAGCCGTTCCATTTGTCCACATCATCCTCTCTGTCTCAATCCCTGGCGTCAAACTGCCTCTATGGGTAGGGTCCCATTCTCCATTCTTCTCACTTGATGGTCCCAGAGACCTCCGCTCCTGGGCTGCAAAATCAATCACTCTCCTCCTTTTGTCAAAAAACATCTACCTCTATATTTCCTACCCTCACAGTCAGTCCTGACGGCAATTATTCACTATTGTACCACAAGAGTCTTATCCCCATTTCTTTTCTCCAGCCCGGTCCCAATAGATTGGGAATCGTTCAGTGGTGATTCTACCTTCCCCGCCCCGTCAGTAACTAGGGTCCCTCTTGAGAGCTTGTAAGCCAGTCACTTCTTGCCTTTATAGCCCTCCCTGCCCCATTTTGGGTAGCCAATGTCTAAGTTGCCCATCCCTGTCAACCCTGTGTACTGAGGAGGTGGGAGTGATCCTCACTGTGAAGATTTCTTCCCTTTTTTGAGCTATTATATCCCTGTTATTGTTGTTATGTGTCGTAGAGTCGGTTCCGACTCATAGCAACCCTATACAGGGTTTCCGAGGCTGGAAATCTTTACCGGAGCAGAAAGCCTCATCTTTCTCCTGCAGAACAGCTGGTAGTTTCGAACTGCTGACCTTGTGGTTCCCAGCCCGATTCATAACCACTATGCTACCTGAGCTCCTTAAGTATAGGTAAAGTTCATCAAATTGTAGCAGGTTACACTCCCCCCTCTTCTTTCTTCTTCTAGTCGAGTTCTGATCATCCAAACATCGAAGCCAGGTCAAGTGGGTATTATCTGCAAGTATGGGTGTTCTTTTGCATCTCGCCTCACTTCGTATCAGCTGGACGCTTCACTCTTTGCTCTATTCCTCTGTGGCCATGTCACTGCATGGGGTCCCTGGGTCTTGCCATACTGCTGGCCATCCAGGTCTCCACCTGGGTTCACAGGGATCTACTGAATGTGGTCAGTCTTAGCTCGCAATTTCATTGCTGTTTTTTCTCCTTCTTCCCCTTATCAGTGACCAGCATGGTCACTAGCCAGACCACATGCCTGCTCATATATTCCCTTCAGTCTCAGTCTTGGAAGGGGGTTTGCTCTGAGGGGTCCCGACCACTTGCCTTGATGGCTCCTGGGTGAATAACTT